CCCCACCACCACCCCCATCCTACATATTTTAGCTTTAACTTTTTTTGTTCTCTCATATCTTGCCACTCTCGGAAAGTGAGCACATTTGGAAAGCCTCTTCCGTCCATCACAAACAAACAATTCACATACATGGAGAATTTGTATGAAACCAAGCCTATATATTATTTAATTATACACAGTCAAAATTGTCCAAGCAGCACGACCACCTACTGTCGACAAAATAGTGATCATCTCAAATAAATGGACGTCTTAAACAGTTTTATTATAATCATGTTTAAAAAATATAAGGGAGGAAGTTGGAAGTGGTCGTTTATACAGGTGATCTTCTTCTACAGGTCGTGGCCACTAGAGCAGGTTTGACTGTATATTGTTCATTCAGCAGTCTTTAGACTCTTTCCCTTCAGCACAACCCCACAGCGTTGAGATGATATGTAGTTGCTAAACATTTTTATTAACTTTTTGCTGCATTGCTTTATAATTTATTTATTTTTTTTAATATTGTGGTGGGAGGAAAACATTATTACAATAAAAGCTCCAAGTGAAGTAAAGCCTAAAAGAAAAAAAACAAATGCTCTTCTAACCTAGTGATGTTCCAACAACACTGCTCTCGCCCACCGTGTAGGCAAATGAAACAATGAGTGAAGTCAACAACATCAAAATCAGAAGACAAAGTATGAGTCTGCCTTGGCCTCGGACACTGCTTTTGACGAATCGAATCCCACAAGAGGAGCAGATTGCAGATCGTGCTGAGGGCCACCTAGATAAGAAAAATTAAATTCTAATGATAATGGATGTAAGTTTTAGTAAGAGTTTTATGGCACTTGCAACACACTAAAGTCACATAGGTACCGAAGATTAGAGGTGTTTCAAGAGAGTAACAAATAGGAGGAGGACAGATCAGGACGACAGATGTTTTATAGAAAAGAAGGCTAGGAGCAAACCGTGCCAAAGCACCCGCCAACCACCTACAACAGATTTAATGAAATGATTGATAATGATAGCAGTATCAGTAATGCTAACAGCTGATTTTCTTTCCACATTGATGATTGCAGATCGTGCTGAGGGCCACCTAGATAAGAAAAATTAAATTCTAATGATAATGGATGTAAGTTTTAGTAAGAGTTTTATGGCACTTGCAACACACTAAAGTCACATAGGTACCGAAGATTAGAGGTGTTTCAAGAGAGTAACAAATAGGAGGAGGACAGATCAGGACGACAGATGTTTTATAGAAAAGAAGGCTAGGAGCAAACCGTGCCAAAGCACCCGCCAACCACCTACAACAGATTTAATGAAATGATTGATAATGATAGCAGTATCAGTAATGCTAACAGCTGATTTTCTTTCCACATTGATGATTAATACTATTTTCTGTCAGCAAAATAAAAAGTAGTAGTAGCATGGCCGCAATCGCTGCCGGTTAAATACACTACTACTGTTATTATTGCTGCTGCTGCTGCTGCTGCTGCTGCTGCTGCTGCTGCTGCTGCTGCTGCTGCTGCTGCTGCTGCTGCTGCTGTTGCTGCTGCTGTTGCTACTACTACTGCTACTACTACTACTGCCTACTGCTACTACTACTTCTATTGAACAAAATTGCATTCTCTCAGCTCTCTTGAATTTTTGTTGTTGTGAAAAAGCTGGTGGTGTAAACTTCCTGAAATTAAAATTTAAATTGAGTAGTAACTACTATTATTATTGCTCCTGCTACTAAGTACTACCACCTTCGCCACCTGTAGCATCATCACTATCACAACTTTTCTTTTAAATTCTTTTGCTTGTGCTACTAGATCTAATTGTGTATCTACTCCAACATATAAGAGTTATACAATAAGATGAGTTACTTTGTGTGTATGTTGTGGGGGGGGGGGGGGGAGGTGAGAGTGTGTGTGACCTTGTGTGTGTGTGTGTGTGTGTGTGTGTGTGTGTGTGTGTGTGTGTGTGTGTGTGTGTGTGTGTGTGTGTGCATGACGTATGTCTCGGCGGCACGTCTGTATACGTGTATGTGTGTGTGTGCGTGTGTGTGTGTGTGTGTGTGTGTGTGTGTTTGCATGCTTGCTTAGCATGCCCCAGCACAAGCAGGGGATAAAGTGTTCAGGTGGAGAAATAAAATCAGAAAACAATGTTCAACAGTTTGCTCTCTGCAGGCCAAAACGGGGAATAATAGATGGCGAGTTGGTGGAGGAATTGTCTAATATATCACTTTCTGAAGTACAAGCAAGAGCAGATGATTCTGAACTATTACAGTAACCCTTTTAAGTTTCCAGAAGAAACAAAAAGTATAATTGGAATAGAACTTAGAAGCTAGAAGTATTCTGCCCCCCC